ACCCGAAGGTTGCAGGAACAGCAACTCATATTCCGCTTGGGAACCCTGCAGCCCAATGGTATCAATGTGGATTTCACAAGTTTCAAAATCTCCCCTCCCCCCACCGCATCCCAAAACCAGTCCAACTCGTCCCTGCCTCCCTAACCTGTTCTTCCTCCCACCTATCCCCTCCTCCCACCTCAAGCCGCACCTCCATCTCCTACCGACCAACCTCATCCCGCCCCCTTGACCTGTCCGTCCTCCCTGGACTGACCTATCCCCTTCCTAACTCCCTACCTACACTCACCTTTACTGGCTCCATCCCCGCCTCTTCGACCTGTTTGTTTCCTCTCCACCTATCCTCTCCTCTATCCCTCTTCTATCCGCCTCCCACTCTCTCCCTATTTATTTCAGAACCCCCTTCCCCTCCCCCTTTTCTGATGAAGGGTCTAGGCCCGAAACGTCAGCCTCTCTGCTCCTATGATGCTGCTTGGCCTGCTGTGTTCATCCAGCCCTGCACCTTGTTGTCTCTGAGTATTTTCCAATATTCAGTTTAAACAGACCAGTTATATGAACTCATAATCAAAGCCTTATTTACTTGAGAAAATCCTTAAAGTGACCATTGTGAACATTGTGTCTACAGCCATATATTCCTGTTCAGTCATGATAGGAACACTGCGCTTCTGGACCTGGCTTATTTAAGCAGATTGTCCCGTTGGTGGCCAAAAGGGTTGGATATTTTGTGTTTTAGTATCATTTTAATTATTTCTTTCCACGTATAGGTTGTTTTTGCCAAGATATCTGCCATTTCAAAATTTGTGACTTTTTTTACTGTAAATATTTTACTTTGGTGCACTCATTTGCTGCTGGTATTTAAATTGCATCAAAAGTAATGTTCATGCATGTCTCTTGCTGGATGTTGAATCAGCTAGATGCTTGTGATAAAAAAAAGGAAGAAACATCACCAAATTCACAACAAAAATCGGCATGGTCGGTACGTAAAGCGGCAGGTTTGGTGAGATAGTGTGGGAGAACTAACTAGATCTCATCACATAAAACCCTCTGGCAGACTGGTGAGAATGTAATAATTGCAATAATCAGTATAGAACATTATTGGAAATTGCTGGAAAAGTTCAGCAGGTCTGGCAGCAAATGAGCTTCCAGTTGCCTGCACCTTTAACACACACCCTATTCCCTGGCCAACATCTCTGTCTCAGGCTTGCTGCAGTGCTCCAGCAAAGCTCAGTGCAAGCTGGAAGAGCATCACCTCATTTTCTGTTTGGGAACCCAGCAGCCTTTTGGGTTCAATATCGAGTTCAATAACTTTAGGACTTGAGCTCTCCCATGTCCTTACCCCAACCTCCACACATCAGGCCTTATTATCACATGGTCTGCTATTACACACAGCCCATTGTTGGCCACAAACAGCCCCCATTAATAGCTATTCACCCTCCTAGCCAGTTCGTTATCCACTCCTTTGTCTGTCCAACTGTTCTTCTCTCTCTTTGGGTTCTATCCTCACCTACTGTTTACTCCTTAACCCCTCCTCTCACCCTATCTTCCATGTATAAACTGACATTTTCCTAGCTACCATCAGTTCTGAGAAAAGGTTACCGAACGTGAAACGTTAACTCTGATTTCTCTCCACAGATCCTGCCAGGCCTGCTCAGTTTTTCCAACAATTTCTGTTTTTGTTTCTGATTTACACCATCCGCAGTTCTTTTGGTTTTTATTTAGATCATAAGCCTTCTAACTCCATAGTAATTGAGGAAAAAAGAGGTTAAGATCTACTAAAAAAAAGGTCCGGGTTTTTGGACATCACCATCCCAGAATTGAGGTACTGTACCTGTACTTAATTGTAAAGTAATGTCCAGAAAGAAAAACAAAATGAGGAAAAGAAAGATGTAGTTAAGAGAGAGAGGTAACAGAAACAACAAGGAGAGGGGAAAATAAAGGTCTAGGTATTTTTAACCTCCAAAACTATTTGAATTCTGAAGGAAACAAAACTCCCAATGCGTCTATTAACTACAACCCATGGATTCATGCTACACCCTAATTATAACCTCAGTACGACCAAGAAGTGATTATTAGTAACTATGTTCATTCGAAAAACATTTTCATTTTATAGGTTCTATTGATGAGTTTTGAATAGATCATCAGAATTTGTAACAATGTAACTAGAAGAGCATATTAATAAAATGACTTAGAATTTTATTTTTCTTGTAGCCCCGAGAGGGAGAAGAGGATGGAAGAAATTTTATGCAGTGCTCAAAGGGACTATTCTCTATTTGCAAAAGGTAGTGTTCTTTTTTTAAATCTAATTGTGCATATCTGTGGTTTGTATATACATTATACATAAATAAAATAGAAACTTGTTGGCATATTTTATTGTACTGAGTTGCTTTGCAAAAGTAGTGATTAATGGGCTCTAATTTCTGCTTCTTAGCTCTAGTAATATCAATGTTATCTAGGTGGATTCAACTGTATCAACTCAAAAGATCAAACAATCTTAAACCCAACTGAGTTGTGCCCTTAAACAAATATATTTCTGTTTTCCATGTTCTTTCATGTCAGTTTAAGATTCAGTTTGCTCAAAGCAGGCCCTGTCTGCAAAACTGGCCTCAGTCCTATGTCAAAATTATGAGATACTACCGATATAGTTGTTTGAGAAGACTATTGAAATTGTCTCATTTTCCTAGGCACTGTGTCACTGTCAGGCACATTTTAATAGTTTTCTTTCTCAAATTAACTCAGTTGTTTATTTAGAAACTGACCAATATGTGCTAATGAAATTATTAAATGATTCTGTGTAGTTTTATCAATTAAATTTCACTGATTTTAGTGAATTGAATCCATTTCCAGCGGTGTTAACAAAATGGTACCAGGTTACTATATCTAAATACATAAAGGCATAATTTATGATGGGCAGAAAGAAAATGATTCTATTTTATTATGTTGCCTCATTGTTCCCATATATATTTTCCTTCCTCCATCCTGACCTGGAACAATACTGGTCAGTCTTCCCTGCATGCCATTTGCAAATGTTGTCATGCCCTGTGGCACCAACTCATCTACTTGAGTTAATGCTGCTTCCTTGGCGCATTTGAAAGCGGGTAATATGCCCAAGATGCTGTCTGTTGTGGCCCTCTATATACGCTGTTACAAAGTGAGCTGTATAACTGATGATTTTTTTCTGAGGCCTGAAAAATCGCAACATCTTTAATCTTCAGGGCACTGCTTCCTTTAAAGTGTCATCTACTGTATCATTCTCACTAAATCATAGCTTTTATTTTGTGGCCAAACAGTGGTGGATTTCTTATTTACTTAGAAAATTCTATCCATAGTTCATCTTGTTCAGAGGGAGTCATAGCAGGGAAAGGCCTATCAAGCTGCTGTTCTTCTGTTTGTCCCCAAAGAGGGAAATCTTTACTGGAACATCCTACGTGCCTGCAGCAATCTACATTTAAATTGAGCATGCTGATATCAAATTTTTATTCCTTACTATAGGGACAGTAGTTTTTCTTTCTGTATATTTGATTGTGGACTCAATTGCCCTAAAATCCAAGAATGCTATTGGAAGACTGCTGCACTTCTTAAAAATTAAGTTATCTGACACTAAGTATTGTTGATACAGTTGTTGGTTCAAGTGGAGGGAAAAGCCAGGGACTGTATACAAATGGAGATTTGGTCAGCAAAAGGTAGTTGATTGGTCTGTAGTATGGTGACCAGTTAATGAAGACCAAGGCTTCCTGCCTACTAACAACTGTGCTGAAAAACTAGTGTGTGTGAATGTTTGAGGGAGAAGCCGTCAGAAATCTGAAAGTGCAGGGCTGTTTTTGCTCTGCAGTAAAAAAAGCATTTCAAGCCTGAAGATAGCCAACTTATATCTCTCATCAAGCTGTGACTTTAAATGAATCAACCAGAGACTTTTATAAGTGTGAACCAGTCACCCTGTGCCTCCTGCAAACAAATTAAAGTACCTGGGGAAGGAAGGTTGAAAAGCAGCAAAAGGACTATCTCAGCAAACCTTACAGCAAGAACCACTGAACTACCTTCTCAGTCTTTCCCTCTGCACATAACACCCATTCTTTCATGATTGCCTGTACATGTGCATAGGGGGAGAGTTTATATGTGGCTTTGAATTTGAACTTGTAGAATTATATGTTGATGGTTCATAATTATTTATCTGTATTTAGAATCTCTTTATTTGTAATAAATAGTAATTATAGAATTATCATTGGCTTAAATTATTACGGTTAACCAGTTGAATAATGTCTTTCATAATATTTATTGACAAAGAAAATGATGCATGAGATTAAACTAGAAATGTCAGTTGGTGTAATGCACTTTATTCAAGTAGTTTATGTGATTTCAGCAGATGCAATACATCTTGGAGCTACTTCCCCAGTACTCCCTGAGCTAAGTAATGGGGGAAAAATTATCTCTAATAGGAAGATGAGAACAAAATTACATTGAGTTAAGGTTCCTCCATGGTTATATTGCCAGCAGGCAAGTATAATCTTGATTCAAACCTGATGAATAGCCAGTGGGTTAGGTATTGAAGGACTGTTGGGGTGCATAAAATGAGACAGGAGAGTGGGGGAGAAAATAATGCCAAAAATGTGTTTCTCATTTTAAAATGGATAACAGAATGGAATTGTGTCCATATCAAATAATGAGCATTTTCTTATCAACAATTATAATGAATGTTCAAAATAAAAATCATAATTGCTCTGCTTATCTGTATCTCTTACAGGATGAATATAAATTAGATAGAGACTTGTCTGAAGTGGATCTGAAAAATGCTATTCGCATACACCATGCATTAGCAACAAAAGCTATTGATTACAGCAAACGTCCCAATGTTCTTAAATTGAAGACAGCAGACTGGAGAGTCTTTCTGTTCCAAGCACCGTAAGAATATTGTACATATCTATTTTAAGCATTTATGTTGTAGTTTGAACCAAATTTAATTTGGAAATTGATTTTTGTGACCTGACCCTTTAATTTGCTATGTTACGTTCTGATAAGGGGTTGTTGGACTCAAAACATTAACTCTGTTTCTTTCTCCAGAGATGCCGCCAGACCTGCTTCAGAGTTTCTCTAGCACTTTCTGTTTTTGTTTCAGATCTCCAGCATCTGTAGTTCTTTGTTTCATACTTTTGCTGAGTTACTTGTGCTTTAGCCGCTGGTTGAATCAGCAAATTTCATGATGTTTTTCAGAGGCACCAGTAGGTATGTGGCTTCTGAAAAAAATCCATTATATTGCTATAAATTTGTGCTGCAGCAAACTGTATGGGAGAGCAGCAAACTTTTGTAATCTGTTCACATTATAATTGCTTAATGGTTTGTAATTTAAATTCAGATGTTAAATTCAAAATTTTCAACAAATCGTATCTTTTTGCAGCAGTACTTGAGTTCTGAACCACCAAATGACTATAAAGGTGATACGTTAATGTAATTGCGTCACTAGTCAATCATTGTCCACAAATCTCTTTACAAGTTTGTATATGTTTCTTGCAAAGCCACCAGTCAGATGTTAATCTGCTTTGAAAATGATTTAAAATGGCAGACTTGGAATTTGAACCCATGAGCACTAAAGGCACAAACTCATTTACATTATTGTCTTTATACTCTTGAAATTTCTATGGAAGATTTGCTGATGTAAAGGAAGTATGGTAAACTGTATTGCAGGAATTACAAACAATTTTAGGCTCTCGGATATCAAAGACCACTGTAAAAGTCCTGGTATACGATTGTTTATAAATGGACATGACACCAGAATAACTAAATGCATTGCAAAGCAGGTTTTGCAACTCTCAGTGCAACTTTCATTCCTAGATTGGATACACAATGATGAGAACTTTCCTGGCTTCAGAAAAATGACACGGGCAAAATGGCTCAGAGGGTCTGATTTTCATTCTAGCTTAGAGGGGTTCCTTGCGAAGCAGGCTAGATAAACCCAGGATACAATCATAGGCTGCTGGCTGCAAATGCAGGCTGGGTGCAAAACCTTTCTCTCTGCACTGACGCAGTGTGAAAGATTAACAACAAATTAATGAAGTTAAAAACAGCACTACAGCTCTTACCCATCTTGTCCCCTCCTTCATATATACACTTTCCAATATCCATCCATGCAAAACCGTACCACCTGATGTTCTGTACCCACCCCATATTGCCCGCCCTCTACGCCACTCTATGCTACTGTATGCACTTTCATGTTCCGCCATATACCCCCAAACCCACCCAGCCATAATCTCCATGCCACCCAATGTCATTGTCCTGCAAGGCTGATCTCACTGTAAAGAATATCTCGCTGCACTTCTTATGCTTCTGCCAAGCAGCATGGGAAGTTTCACTCTAGGCAGCGGCATGTTGCCAATTACGGGGGATTACAGCTTGATGAATGCATTGCTCACCTCATTAAAACTCACCTCATTAATATTCAGCTTCCTGTCGTACCAAAGGCACCAAACAACCTCAACATTGAGAATCCTTGAACTGGAAGTCAGAGTAGTCACTAGGCATCATCATCTCAGGGGACGAGCTCCATGGGCACCAGCCACATGCACACACCATATCCATGAACATTGGCATCGGCAATATGCCAACCTCAAAGAACCCTCATGCCACATATCCGGTCCACCCATGGTATCCTTCTGCATGTCAATGTTGCACCTTGGACTGCACCAGCAGCTATCATTGTGATGCTGCAGCAAGAACACTGTGCACAGGGACACCTGCCTAGCTTATGGACTGGAACAGGTGCTATTTCATCCGTTCACTTGCGCTCATGGTGCTCACTTACTTTGAGGCTACCTGGATGCTCACAGCATCCCTGCCTTGCATTGCCTTGCTTTCCCTTTTGTACTTCACCCCCTCAGCCAGAGATACCTGGCCCACTGTATTGCTGTATTGCTGGGCAATTTAATCCAGGATTATCAGGGAGGCAATGGCCTGCTGGTATTATTGCTCAACTATTAATCCAAAGACTCAGGTAAAGTTCAGGGACCCGGGTTTAAATCCCACCACAGCCGATGGTGACATTTGAATTCAATTAAAATCTGGAATTAAGAGACAAATAATGATGATTAAACCATTGATGATTATCAGGAAAAATCCACCTGGTTCACCTGAATCCTCACTGTGAGCAAAGGCCCAGGAGATGGGCAAGAAAGCAAGAGGACATGCCAGTGGAAGGGAGGGAGCGGGTGGTTGATGGATCATTGAGTGGAGGGACAACAGGTAGGAGAGGCTGCAAGTGGGTCAGGAAGGGAGACAACAAGTGGAAGAGATGATGACTTGGGAAGGTTGGAGAAGGAAGCAATGAGCAGGAGGATCAAGGAATGAATCAGCAACTAGAAGGGTTGAGAGAAGGAGGTGGGGAGTAGAAAGGTAAGGGGCACCATCAAATGATGAGCTAGAGGTTTGAGGAAGTAACTAGCAACAAGGAGAGATGGCAAATGGCATTTTTTTTAAAGGCTGAGCAATCTCAGTGACTGTGCAGAAACAATGTTGGCTGTCTCCCAGTGTCCCGTCCAGGATTCGTGACTCTAGCAAATAATATCAAAATATTTCATTGGATGTTTCATTCATTTACAGTTTGAAGGGATTTCATTGTAAACACATATTGCTGCCATAACTGTGTGTAAAACAATAACAATATCATTTGGTGTTTCAAAGAGACAATCAGTGATTATTTAAATATAAGCTATTTCTTTCTTTTGTTTCTATGCAATTGTTTTCTGACCTCTGATTTTCTGATCTCTAATGGCATTATACACAGAGTTCCACTATGCTTGACATCCATCCATTTGTGGTAAGTTTAATACTGGCACCAGAAATGCCTGCTAACTTACAACCACATATATCAAAATTAATCCTCAACGATTTACTGAGATAGTAGGAACTGCGGGAGAAATGTTTGTGAAGGATCTCAATGTTCTGAATGTAGTGGTCATCGTGGTTGGGGCCAAATTGGGAAGGCCTAAATGTAGACTGTAGGCCATTGGGGATGATCCGGTTCCGTAGGCAGGTACTCAGAAAGGCAACGTGGCTGTACTACCTGGTCTGCTTCAGGACGTGGTCGAGCAGTTTCAGGGCCAAAGAGATTACAAGAGGGTTGCAGTGGGAGAGAGATCCACTGAGGTCTTTCCGGAGGGAGGAGGGTAAACATTTTCAGACCATTTTTTGAAGAAGGGTCTAGACCGGAAACGTCAGCTTTCTTGCTCCTCTGATGCTGCTTGGCCTGCTGTGTTCATCCAGCTCTACGCCTTCTTATCGCAATGATTTACTGTTGCTTTCCACTTTTCCCCACTTTTCAGCTCATATTGTGTTCAGTTAGCCAGCTGCCTATATTAAAACAGATGACATGAGCTTTTAGAAGTGCATTGAAGGAATCACGTAAGATATGTAAACACCTACTTGTGAATATTTCTGAATTTGCTTTTTTTTTAATTTTTACATATTTGGTCAATCAATTCTGTACCAGATGATTTGGCAAGAACATTTGTTTTGGTACATCCATTATATTTCAACAATTTAAACTAATTAACAGCCATACTTACTTTAATTAAATCAGTTTATTGAAGAACTATTTTCAAGCTAAATTAAGCATTGCACATTCCCAAATATAAATACCTATTAGTTTGTCTTTATTCTCTATAGTTGGAAGCAAATCTTGGATGTAAACTTTTCAGCTAGATTCTGCTGTAATACTTCCAATCAAACCTTCTTTTGAGCATTATTTAGGCAATGAGATGCTTACACCTACTTGACAACAATATGTGCTAATTCCACATTATTCAATTAATTAGTTCAATTCTGATCCATGAAGAGAAATCAGAGTTAATGTTTCAGGTTCAGTAACCCTTCAAGTATTTCACAAATGTTTCAAAAAAGATTCACTGGGAAGCTCCATTTTTTGTACTGAACCTGGAGATGCAAGTGAGTGAGTGAAGAACAGCAATAAGATTATGGATGCATCTACATAGATATGGCGCATTTGGAGATAAAATGATGCGCAGCCTGCTTTACACTATCTATATTTCAGACTTTGCATAATAAATGTAGTATTAAGACATTGAATGAGTTATTGTTAATTGTTATCCTCTTTGAAAGTTCAGAAACTTCACACAACACATTGCACTACTTTATTTAACCACATCTATGATACGATCAATGTAGAGATGATTGTCAATAAAGTTATTACCTTCTGTCTCTGTGATTAGTGCAACACATTTTGAAAAAAGTTTTTTTCATGTGTCAATCAATAAAATCTAAATCTTATGCCAACAATAAAAAATGATTGTTCAGGATTGGAATAACACAGGATTTCCTAGGTACCATAACGTGATGAAATATGTTTGAATAATTGTTAAAATTCCATAAACAGGTTGATATTAAACCAATGCATCAGTATCATAGTGCAATTGATGCATAAATGCAATTCAGAAGCCACCAAGTCTATCTCTGGTTAAATGTAAGTGAAGAAAGCAGATTTCTAAACATATTGACAATTTGTGGTGGTAAAGGTGGCACGTTTTTTGATAAGTCCCTGCTTGTCATTCTCTGTGCTCTGGTTATTGTATGTTGCTACCTCTCTTTTGTCATCTTCTTTCAATTAACTTGCTGCACCTGTATCTTCCACTTAAGCTTTCAATGTCACTCTTCCCAATCACCACCGCCCCTTTCCTTTTAGCCTTCTGGAAATGAGTGACCAATATTTAAATTTAAATAATCTAAGCTATTGAAAGGGAAGGCTACTTTAAGGAATCTGATCAATCATAATTAAAATTTACTTGTTTTTCAAATGTGTAATTAAAATTATATGAGCACAATAGAACATATTGCTGTTCAGTCAACTTTATATATAAATGACAAACGGATATGCATATTTCATATTCGGAATCACTATCCCATAGTCCATCAGGTTTACACTAGTATTTTCAACTTCTTGTCACTCTTGGATTATTTTCATGGTACATGATTCATTATAGATAGTATGTTGCACAGTACTGCACTCTTCAGTTGAGAAGTAGTACAAAAGGAAGAGTTTTAGATTTGGGTCTGAACTTTTGAAATGTAAAGATTTTCCTCTAATTCATTGGTTGATTCTATTGTTGCAGCTGGAATTGCCTTTTTCTGGGTATGAGAGGTTCTGCAATTTATGCCAAAATTAGATGAACTATAAATCTTAAAATCTTTTTGAATCAACATTTGTGAAATACTTGAAGGGTCATTGAACCCAAAATATTAACTCTGATTTCTCTCCATAAATGCTGCCAGACCTGTTGAGTTTTTGTGGTAATTTCTGTTTCTGTTTGTGAAATACTTATCTTTTCACTTCAGATTTTGACATTTGAGAAAGAGAGAGAGAGAAAAAGAGTGATGATCTGAACAGCTAAACTATTTTCTACTAGCAGAAAACGTGACAATAATGAATGTATGCCTATAGTGTATAAAATCTTTGTACCTCATGATCTCATTATTGTTTGGAAATTGTCATTCTATCATACAGTATCATGGAATTTTCACATTTTAAGTCAAGCAGTTGCACAGACATCTTTACAGTGGCATATTACTATGTCTGAATCTTTATGTTGTATTCTAACATCACCTAAAAGAGTTAGTATCATTTAAAAACTTGAAAAACTGATTGCATTTCCTTTCTTCGCTGTCCTGTTTTCGCTCAATGACGGTGTTAGAAAATATTAAATATTATAATAGAGATTGATACTTTCAATGTAATATTTACACACTTTTCTTTCCTATTTTTTGGCAGAAGTGAAGAGGAAATGCATTCTTGGATATTGAGAATAAACCTGGTAGCTGCCATTTTCTCAGCACCATCCTTTCCAGCTGCTATTGGGTCACTGAAAAAATTCAGTCGGCCACTTCTTCCTTCGTCTACCACCAAACTCTCCCAGGTGAAATGTATAAAGTTATTTAGTATGAGAATTATTAACTGTCAAGTGTAATATGACACTTTCCTTCAAAATTATCTTTGCTATGGAATTGATATGAACCATTGCTTGATGTGTGAAAGTCTTTTGGTTCAGTAAGAAGCATTTCTGCATCTGGACCAGAGGATCTGGGTTTGAGTCCCACACAAGGACTTGATGGCCACAGGCAGTGCATTCTCAATGTGGCCAAATAGGTTGCATATAAACCTGAAAATGCTTTGAAAACACAACCATAGCAGTTATTAAAAATCCTAGTCAGCATTATGATGGTAAAAAGTTGCATCCTCTACCATCATTATCCATAGCTCCAGACTAAAACGTGCATGTAGTGGGAGTAGAGTTAGTCAAAGTGTACACCTGATTCCCTTTTCAAAATATTGCCATAGTCAGCCAGATGTGGTTCCTGTAAGAGTTTAGGTATCTGTGTGCTTGCGATAGGGATTAGGCCATGGTGGGGATTGTAGGTCGATTGCAAGCAGACCAGGGATCTAGGTAGGTCGATCAGAGTGCTGTGGAGTCATTGATCTTGGGGAGGTGCACAGTTTTTCCTAAAATGAGACAAAGAGTAGGATTGGGTATTTTGGAAATGGAGGGAAGAGACATTAATGGTGATACAGGAGCGGGAGAAGTGGTGCAGGGTCCCAAAGAGTGAGTAAGCAGGAAGCAGAAAGGGCAGGAGGGCTTGTAGTTTGAGAGAATTTTTTTTTAAATTCATTCATGGGATGTGGGTATCACTGGCTGGGTCAGCATTTATTGTCCAAGCCTAGTTCCCCTTGAGAATGTGATGGTGATCTGTTTTCTTGAACTGGTGCACTCCATTTAGTATTGGTAAACCTACAATGCCATCAGGGAGGGAGTTCCAGGATTTTGACCCAGTAACACTAAAGGAATGGTAATATATTTCCAAGCCAGGTTGGTGAGTGGCTTGGAAGTGAACTTGCCTGTGGTGGTATTCTCAGGTATCTGCTGCCGTTATCCTTCAGGATGATGCTGGGTGTGGGTTTGGAAGGTGTTGTCTAAGGAGCCTTGGTGATTTTCTGCAGTGTATCTTTTAGATGGTACGCTGCTTCTACTGAGTTTTAGTGGTGGAGGGAATGAAAGTTTGTAGTGGGATGGATGAGAGCCATTGACTGGATATGACACATTCACAGTGAGAATTGTAGTCCAAGAAGCTTAGTGAGAGTCACGTGTAGTGGCAGAGTTAGACTAAATGATAGCCTATAGTATGACATGTCAGTGAGAAGATGGTGGCCATTCAATTACATAGCTCAGAATATTCATCAAGCTTTCTACTGTACTGCAGTGTGTTCCATACCCAAATGCTATACTTGTCTTGCTAGCTATGTCCATTGGCGTGGCTTCCCTTGGTGGCCAGCAGGAGAAATAACTGCTGTTTTTTCCACCACTCCTTCTTCCATTAGTACTTCCAGGTCCCCACCCGTGAAACAGAGAGTGAGCTTTGTCTCTGAGACATGTCCTCAGTGATAATAGCCAAGCACCACCAATTGAGGGGCAGTTCCTGGATTGCAGCATCTGAAGTGGTGTGCAACATGGCTTTAAATACAGTACCGATGATATGAAGGCAGCAGTGGCAAGCACTTTTGCCTTTCTTCTTGCACAATTCCATGAGAAGGTTAAGGGGCCTGGTTGCATAACTGATAAAGTGAAGAGTGAATGATTGCATGAGAAATGTTACAGTGAGCCATGGCAGGATTGGGTGCCATGAACAGACTGGACTAAATACTTCAATATAAAATGGGAAAATTCAGCCCTAATTATAGAGCCATAGAGTTATACAGCACGGAAACAGACTGTTTGGTCCAACTCGTCCACGCCGACCAGACATCCCAATCTGACCTAATCCCATTAGCCAGAACTTGGCCCATATGCCTCTAAACCCTTCCTATTCATATACACATCCAGATGCCTTTTAACTGTTGTAATTGTCCCAGCCTCCATCACTTCCTCTGGTAGCTCTTTCCATACATGCACCTTCCTCTGTATGAAAAGGTTACCCCTCACCTCTCACCTTAAACCTATGCCCTCTAGTTTTGGATTCCCTGACCCTATGAAAAATACCTTGGCTATTCACCCTATCCATGCCCCTCATGATTTTATAATCTCCATAAGCTCACCCCTCAGCCTCTGATGTTCCAGGGAAAGAAGTCCCAGCCTATCAGCCTCTCCCTATAGCTCAAACCCTCCATTCTGGAAATATTCTTAAAAATCTTTTCTACATCCTCTCATCTTTAACATCATTCCTATAGGAAGGTGACCAGAATTGTACGCAGTATTCTAAAAGTGGTTTCACCAATGTCCTGTATAGCCGCAACATGACATCCAATCTTCTGTACCTCTATAATGTTCTGACCAATGAAGGCTATTGTGCTAAATTCCTTCTTCACCACTCTGTCTAACTGCGACGCCACTTTCAAGGAACTATGCACCTGCACCCTTCAGTCACTTTGTTCAGCAACACTCCTCAGACCCCTATCCTTAAGTGTATAAGTCTTGCCCTGGTTTGCATTACCAAATGCAAGATCTCACATTTATCCAAATTAAACTGCATCTGCCACTCCTGGCCCATTGGCCCATCTGATCAACGTCCTGCTGTACTCTGAGATAATTTTCACTGTTCACTACACCACTGTTTTAATTCACCTCACTGTATATTGAACCAGCAACAATACTTGTAATTAGATATGCCTCCAATTTGAGTAAACTTTAATATTGCATAAGCTATGGTTGATGCCCTGACATTTCAAAGGTTGTGGGTGTTTCATCAAAGTTTTCAGTAATTGGTAGGGTGGACAGAAATAAACTATTTTTTTTGTTGGTTGTTCAGTCCAGGTCCAGCCCATATAGCCTTGAAATGTAGTTATGCCTTTCAGAAGCTCAATTAGAAAATACTTCTAAGTACTAAAAGTGATAACAGTTTGGAATTCTTTCTTTTCCAAATAACAATTAGTGTCAGGTTGGCTGCTAAATTTAAATCAGAGAAAAATAGAGTTCGGCCAGACAAAGGTATTACAGGATATGGATCAAAGGTAAGTTTATGGGCTAAGGTCACAGATCAGCCTTTGAATGATGGCACAGGGTTAGAACACAGAACATAGAACATAGAACATTACAGAGCAGTACAGGCCCTTCGGCCCTCGATGTTGCGCCGACCTGTGAAACCAATCTGAAGCCCATCTAACCTACACTATTCCATTATCATCCATATATTTATCCAATGACCATTTAAATGCCCTTAAAGTTGGCGAGTCTACTACTGTTGCAGGCAAGGCATTCCACGCCCTTACTACTCTCTGAGTAAAGAACCTACCTCTGACATCTGTCCTATATCTATCACCCCTCAATTTAAAGCTATGTCCCCTCGTGCTAGCCATCACTATCCAAGGAAAAAGGCTCTCACTGTCCACCCTATCTAATCCTCTGATCATCTTGTATGTCTCTATTAAGTCACCTCTTAACCTTCTTCTCTCTAACGAAAACAGACTCAAGTCCCTCAGCCTTTCCCATAAGACCTTCCCTCCATACCAGGCAACATCCTGGTAAATCTCCTCTGCACCCTTTCCAATGCTTCCACATCCTTCCTATAATGCGGCAACCAGAACTGTATGCAATACTCCAAGTGCGGCCGCACCAGAGTTTTGTACAGCTGCAACATGACCTTCTGGCTCCGAAACTCAATCCCTCTACCAATAAAACCTAACACACCGTACGCCTTCTTAACAACCCTATCAACTTGGGTGGTAACTTTCAGTCATCTATGCACATGGACACCGAGGTCTCTCTGCTCATCCACACAACCAAGAATCTTACCATTAGCCCAGTACTCTGTATTCCTGTTACTCCTTCCAAAGTGAATCACCTCACACTTTTCCGCATTAAACTCCATTTGCCACCTCTCAGCCCAGCACTGCAGCTTATCTATGTCCCTCTGTAACCTGCAACATCCTTCCGCACTATCCACAACTCCACCGACTTTGGTGTCATCCGCAAATTTACTAACCCATCCTTCTACGCACTCATCCAGGTCACTTATAAAAATGACAAACAGCAGTGGCCCCAAAACAGATCCTTGCGGTACATCACTAGTAACTGAACTCCAGGATGAACATTTCCCATCAACCACCACCCTCTGTCTTCTTACAGCTAGCCAATTTCTGATCCAAACCGCTAAATCACCCTCAATCCCATGCCTCCGTATTTTCTGCAATAGCCTACCATGGGGAACCTTATCAAATGCTTTACTGAAATCCATATACACCACATCAACCGCTTTACTCTCATCCACCTGTTTGGTCACCTTCTTAAAGAACTCAATAAGGTTTGTGAGGCACGACCTACCCTTCACAAAACCGTGTTGACTCTCCCTAATCAAATTATTCCTTTCTAGATGATTATAAATCCTATCTCTTATAATCCATTCCAACACTTTACCCACAACCGAAGTTAAGGGATTGAATGGTCTTTTTCTGACATTATTGGAACTGACCTGAATCGGAACTAATTTGAATATCTGAACGATAGCTAGTTTTCTTATCTTTCATCTGGATGTGGTCATTTAACAATAAATGTCCTTGTTTGTCATCACTGATGACAGTGGAATTGAATGTATGCTGTGTTAATGGTGTTCTTTGGAAAATGTATGAGATCACACCTGATGAATCTCCACTGCAAGCAAACCAAAAATTTATCTTAACGTGAGACATCGAAGCTTTTATCAAAAGCAGATGAGAAATTAGTAAATGGATTTTGGAAGTTCGTGTGTTACCAAATACTTAATTTATTGTGATTTTTATAGTACACTGTCCTACATAGAATGGGGGATGATGCATTTGTATTCTAAGTTTATATGAAGTCAGCATTTAAAGGCTGAATGACTATTAATTGACAAGATCATTAGAAGCAGCAATTTTCTTTAGCTTAATTAGCAGAATTTGGTGTTTTAAGTT